GTGGAATTAGCTTCGTCACTATATCTTTCCCTTCTATGTTTGTTCTTGTTTCGGTGGTGTATCTGTATGTTAGTTGTGGTTGGTTGCTTGTTTAAAGGTTCTTTAATATTTTTATTATTTGTTTCGATGTTGTACCCGTATGTTACTGCATGTTCTTGATTGTTTTCCTTAATGTTTGTTATGTAGTCGTTCCGTTGACAAGCTGTGGTTGGTTGTGGTTGGTTGTCTGTACCCGTAATGTTTCATTCACAATATGATAGAACCAATATAAATAGTCACAATAAACCCACAAAACTGTTAACACACAATTCTTACATACTCGTAACATTTGAATCACAAACACAATTCTTACATACATGAGAGAAAGCATGAAAATTGTCTTCATAAACACACAAAAAACGTTTAACACACAATGTCGGAAAATAATGTGACATCAAAGACCAACAAGCATCGCAAAAAAGTGTTAAATATCGTCGTTTACATACATGCTACACACAAATATCAACCACTCTAAACCGGGGATACCTAAACGGAATCAATGTAAACACCCACTCCAAGGCCTCCACAATGCCATTTTCTTCAAAGAATTGGCGCATATCACCATCTTTCAAGCGCCTCTTATAAGCACTGCATTTTCTATCTCTGGAACTTGTCCTTCAATGTGCGCGTTCCAAAATTGCATTGGTATTGGCTTCACAACAGGGGAAAGAATATTAAATATGATAACATTTTATTAAAAATGCAAGACAATGTAGACGAGAAAAATGATGTTAAATCATGAAGCAATCACTTACCAACAGTGCATACTCGACATGAGTGTTTTTTATTTTTATGCTAAACCGGTGTTGCGGAGGCCTCTCAATATCGTTAGTCGTGTAGACCTTGACGTTGAATGTTCTGAAATCATCTCGTTCAAAATAGAGGTAGTAGTCGTTGCGTATATCCTCTGATTGAACATAATACTGCCACCCATTGGCAAAACACAAAAACGTCCTTGGGTCATAATCCAGCCCAGACGGAACCCTTATTATGTCCATTGGGTAGCGACGGCCCTCAACCGTTATCAGAGTAACGGGAAAGGGCATCGCGTGTCGCCCAAAATAAGGTGCCGCAACATCTATGTCCTAAGAAAGTGAAAGTGTCAACACACAAGTAAACCACACTTAACACTAACCTGGCATTTAATAAAGAACTTTAAACTATAAGCATTAAAAAACTAGACACCAAAATTTAATTATTTGTATATCTTTCTAAAATTTAATTATTTGTATATCTGTCCATACGGAGGTTCTCAAGGCAAGTGGTGTCGCTGATGTCCACTAGCCTTTGCATGTGACTCACTTGAAGGGGCACTCTATCCCTCAATCGGTATGTGAGTCCGCTAGTCAACGAACATCGACGGCGGTGAGGGAGTATGAATTTGTGATAGTAGTAATTAGCTACTATGAAAAAAAACGAGCACCAAGAACAATCTCTTCCAAAAGAGTGAGAATTAGTAATTTGTCTCGCAAGTTATCCATCTACAAAGATTGAAAAACACACGGACTGCACTAATTCAATGATCTTAATGTTGGCCTCTACGAACATTGTAAAAATATTAATCATTTTCATATGGTTATTCCATTGAGCATGCAAAATTAAGCACATCAAACACCAAAAATTAAAAAAAAAAACCTANAAAAAACCTTAAAGCAGTGGTCACCTCTAACAAAAAACATTTACTTGAACAAATTGCAGACAACTTACAAAATCAGTCAGTTACACTATTCTCATTCACTATTCTCATTTTGATTGCTATACTAGAATTAAAACACACAGGTAATATTTAAATGATTGTAAAATCAGTCAGTTTCATATGCAGACAACTTACAAAATCAGTCAGTTTCATATGCACTCTTGCATTGCTATACTAGAATTAAAACACACAATTAATATTTAAATGATTGTAAAATTATATTTACTTGGCTATTATTAGCTTTCCACATCTGTTTCATGTTTTCTTTTTCAACTATCTAATGTAAGTACATATAATATCAAATTAACAGAACTAACATTTAAATAACTATATTTTTTTCAACATATAATACTTTCAAATTAACATCTCAAAATCTAATAACTAGCATATTTGAAAGTAACATTTCACAATATAAGTACACATCTTTATTGAAAAAATTATAATGAGACGACATCCTAAAGTTAAATCAGCTTAATTGCAAAATTCAGATATTAATAATAAATTACCACCTGAGTTTGGTGAGTTAATTGAGGTACAATTAATTTGACATTACTAGTTTTTATAACATACATCTAACTTTTATTAATTTTGTAACACTAATCTAAGTTTATAACCAAAGTCTGTCAATCTATTTAAGTAAATGTGCTATGAGAGAGGTGAACGGATCACAAAAGCAATTTTCGCCCGAAATCGTGTTTAAATTCATAAGTTCTAAATGAGTCCAAATTAATGAGCAACCAAATTAATCTGCAACATTGTAAGATTTAATTCTAGTGTAGCAATTAAAGAGTGCATAAAGGCTAGGTAATCTGTCCACAAACACTTGTGAACTATCAACCATAATTGAAGCAACACACTATAAACAAATGCACATTTCAAAAACAAATGAACGGTATCAAGATAGTCAGCATAAACAAGGCACTTAAATGCTCAACACACTCGGCAAAAGCCTAGCACAAGGAGGCTGCAAACTCCAATGTAAATGACAAAACTCATTTTCAACACATATAATGAGCAATAACAAAACATGCTCTTCTTTCAAAATAAAACTAAGCCATATAATGAACCCCTTATCAATTGGAGTTAATCAATAAACTTAAAGTATAAACAAACTCATTTTCAGCCCATATTAGGATCTCAAAACATGTAAAAATATCATGAGAACAAACCAGCTTTTATTGAACACAGGGCTCATGCTGCTCTTTTGCTTGAAGTATCTTTAACTTTAACTATTTCACACCGTGTAACACCACAAAACCTTTTACTCCCCTCCCTCTTTGTAAATAACATAAACACATTGAGAGGCAAATAAGCAGTTTCTTTAAATACTCAAAAACCTAATAACAGACATAAGAGAATTCAAATTCCAATTGTACTCGCAAGCATTAAGTTCACAGCAACATAGATTATAACCACATAAAAAATATAGCACAAGTTCAGCCAGGCTTTCAGCTTCAACCGCAAGCACCTTCCATTGTGATTTTTTCTAAAATCAGTTGCATAACACAAACTCCACACACCAAGACTGACCTATAAATCACATTCACACACTTCCAGGCACTTAAACAACACATTAAGACACCATTAATTTACTTTAAATCACACGCTTCCATTCGTATCATTGTTTTTCAGGCCAAACCACATATTTCTTCACAGCAATTTCACCACATCAACTGTAATGAAAACTACTAACACTTCTACCTGACAACTCATGAATTTCAGCATGTAAACTCAATGAACAGAGCCTCCATCATTATATCCAAAACGACGTAGAACAACAACAAATGATAAGAAGTTGTTTACCTTCACTTGGAACGGAGAAGAGACGAGAGCTTTTAGCGACTGGAGATGAGGGTGTCTTCAGAGAACCAAACCTTTTCGAAAGAAAATAAAAAATACAGAAAAATTGAATTATAAACAACGAATCTTCATTGAGGCAAATTAAGGGAAAATTGAAATGAAAAAAGGTTAAAATAGAGATTTTCGAGCTCACCTTTAGGCCCGACGGAGAATCAAAAGCGTAGAGCTTCACAACAGTGTCGTCGTCCTTTCTGCAGAATTTAGGGCAAATGCTCGATTTGAACCTTTGTACCACGAATCCTCCGACAAACGGATAAAGAAATGGAAATGGAATTGCTTAGTATAGCGACTGTGAGAGAAGCGTACCTTTAGGCATGACGGAGATTCCGAAGCTTGCACCTCCTACATCAATGGCGTCGTGTTTCTTAAACAACTAGGGCAAAAATGGCCGACATCCCGTTCTTAATCTGGTGTGAGAGTTGTAAATTGAGGCAAATTAAGGGGTATGTTGGTCAGTTCAAGCAACATTTTGAGGGTAAAAAAGGAACCGAAAAAACGGGATTAAATTATCAGGTCTGAGGGGCGGGATTTTTTTGTCCCAAGCTACTGGATGGAACGCTGCCACATCATTGCCATGTCATTAAAATCCGATCCCAATCCGCGCAAGTAAACGTAGGATAACCGGGACTAATTATCTTATCTTGTCCTATCCTGCAAAGTAAACGCTGCCTAATTGTAAATTAATATAACCTAAAAAATAATTAACCCCCAAATTTATAACTAATTTGCCGCAACAATATTCACAATAATGAAGTAGAATATACGAATTTCCAACACACCCCAAAAAAATAAAATCGACACCTATATGAACAAATATAAAACTGCACATCCATGAACAAATCTTCACCAATTGTGCTGAAACAAAGAGATAGAAAAAAAAAACAAAAAACCTTCGGATAGCAACCACTTTCGCAAATAGGAGAAGAACAATAAATCCTTTACACTATTTTTTCGTTGCCAGAGACGCGCGCCACACAACTCACGACGGAGTCTTCGAGAGAAAGAAAAAAAAAACTTCCGAACAATGACTTCTTCAGATTGAGAGAGAGATATTATAAACATATGAGTTCACATTTATTATTTGATTTTTTTCCTTTTTTATAATAATATTTAATGACCTACCAAAATTCTCACCTACTACCAACTATAATAAGTTACATTGACAATAACTCAATTTAATACCATAAAAAAATATTAACTACTTACACCTATCATAAATACCAACATTTATGCAAAATAAATCACTATTTTAATCTCAACAGATCAAAAAAATTTAAACCGTATGGGCACAGCCAATAAGTTTCTAGTAGAAATTCAGTATTAAACTGCTATAATCATGGAAAAAAAATATATATAGAAAATAAAACTAATATTATTAAATTACAATTTTTATTAAGTTTACAACTTTACATAGCTTGTGGCGAAGTCCTTTTAACAGCACACCATCGGGCTTGGAGCCAATGTAAAATCTTGACGGGACAATAAGTACATAACACTGTTCGGCTGTTCCACTGCCGCCGCCGCGTTCGCCTTCGGCCTTCTCTTGATGCATTACTGCACGATCTCAATGTTATCATAGCTATCACCTTTCCTCTCGTTGATTGTAGTATTCGTTTCGTAGGGTTAGGATTTCAGATCAAGGAATACAATGTATTCCACAAAGCATCGATTCTTCTTCGCCATTATGATTTTCCACTGTTATGAGCTCGCTATTGCTGATTCTATACATGGATGTGGGGGATTTGTTGAGGTGGTATTGATGGCTTTCTGGATTAATTATTAGTGTTTTATACTGATTCTTGACTGGGCTTATCTAAAATGGGGAGATTATGCATTTATTTGGGTATATTAGTGTGAAAGTGAACTTTTCTTTTGATTTGGTAGGCGAGTCGAGCACTGATAAGATCGAGGAAGTCAACTGATTCAAAATTGGATTACTCTCACGTTACGGTACATGCCTTATTCTATCTAGTGTTGGTAAAAATTTAAGGATGCATGCTGCTTGTTGAGTTCTTTGTTCAGTTATTAGGGTGTAGTTGGATCTGGTTTAGTGTAGATGCAATGACTGGTTTTGAGATTGTAGGTTGAGCTGCGGACATTGGACGGATTGGTTAAGGACCGAACACAATGTGCTCCTAATGGTTATTATTTCATTCCAGTTTACGACAAGGTATTCATAAGATTTTCCTCTTGTTTTCATCCTTCCTAGTTTCTACCTTTCTGGTGCTTTAACCTGCAGCTGGCTTTGTTTTCGTTGAGGCCTTCTTCTTCTTCTTTTNTACAAGTCCCCTTTTCTTCTCTTGGGTGATTATGCTTCTGGATCTACTTTGAATCCTTCATCCTTCATTTTTTGTTGGTGAGAACTGAAATCACTTAGAAACATGGTTGGAAATTAGAAACATACCCTTCTGGTCTTCGTAGAATGATAAATTATCTGCAGTAATTCAAATTAAAACATTGTAGATGGATCTACTTTGAATTCTTCTTTTGTTAAGTGAGAACTGAATTTATTTAGAAACTTTCTCTGAAATTAATATGAGCTTGTGAATGAGGCTTCTGGGGTCAATATTAAATGATAGATTTGAGTGAAGACTACCCATACAAGTTCTCTTTATAGACTTTCTCTTGATTTTTTTTGACTGTGAAGATTTTCTCTTTAATTAATTTCATGCTGTATTGCATGGATTAAATAATAAATAGTTATCGTCATTTATGCTCAAATGAATTGTGCCTTTTGGTTTCTCTCGTGCTCAATTGATGACAATGATTTGGAGTTAGCATTTCCAAGGTTCGGTATGAAACCTTTTTCTTAATTATGCCAGGGAACAATGAGGTAATCGGTTGCTTATTCTTTGGTAGCAGATGCTTGTATTTTTCACGTTTATCCTCCCGCAATGGTTTGTTTCTACGAGGATTCCATATATTATTGATACTCTTATCTATCCTATTCCCAATATCCCTTGTTTCCCAAACAGCCTCATCCTCCAAAAACAGATTCACCGAATGCTTAAGGTTGCTGAGCTTGCTTTGAAAAAATAAAGCACGCTCCATTAAACTTTGGCATTTCTTGTGGTATTGCTGTCTCAGAACCTTGAATCCCTTACAATCACTTTTGTGCAACTTAAGTTGGAATGCATCCTGATTAGTATATCAAACTGAATAGTAATTTTAATTAAAAAAACAAAGTAAAAATGTTGTGGATTAGATATTAAATCTTTTGGTTTAATTTCCAAGTAACAGCTATGTGGGTGAAGGAATATTTAAAGTAAGTTTGTCTAAGTAGGAATAGTTTAATTTATTTATGCCTCGATTAATTTACTTTTATGTGTACTTGTGTCATCTCACCATATTTATAATAATATAATTTCGTTTTGCAAACAATGCTTTGTCTTCAACGCAGGGTTCTTATGTGATAAAAATAAAGGGACCTGAGGGATGGACATGTGCACCAGAACAAGTTAAGTTTCTTGGGTATTTTTTAATAATATATTTGTTCTTAACAATGTGTTACCACTCTATTAAGTTACTGAGTATTTTGGTTTATGCTTCATCTTCATTTACTGTAAGTTCTGACATTTCCAATTTCTTTTATAGGTTCCTGTTGTTGTTGATCACAAGGGTTGTAATGCTAATGAAGATATAAATTTTCAATTTACTGGGTAGGTATAAACGCCTTTAAGTTTTGAATTCTTGTTTTCGATTCAGAAAACTGTTGTTTACAATTACAGATAGGTGCTAATTCTATTATCTATATTCTTTAATCAATACTTTTTTGTTTACAGACAATATTGGACTTGTCTGTGTTCTGCATTTGGTTCTTGCCTTTTGCTTTACTAATTTGCTATGGTTTCAGATTCTCCTTATCTGGAAGAGTTGTTGGAGCAGTTTCCGGGGGTCACTGTTCACATAGAAGTGGTGGGCCATCAAATGTGATCGTCAAGCTTTCATCTCCCAGTGGGGATGTTGTTTCTTCTGTTTCAACTACATCGACGGGAAGTTACTCATTTGAGAACATCATTCCAGGTCTGATATGTTCTATTTCATTTTCTTTTCCTCTCTATTTGTTGGTCATATCTGCTCTTTCTCCTCCTTTCGGTTTAGCTATTTAAATTGTTACCTTGTTTTGGTTCATCAGTACCAAGATTGCTCATAAGATAAATAGTATTAATACTATATAAATAATTATTTGAATTTCCTGTTACTTAAAATATGTATTGAATATAGAGTGTGGACTGGAAACCAGCATTCCAGAACTTCATTTCTGTGAAGTCAATAGGGTGTAAGGAGATTGGACCTTTATATGAGGAGAAAAGTACCCTGTCTTCCATTAAGTTAACCTAATCAGATCCTTTATTGCTTATACATCTTTTGCTGTTCATATTTAGAGCTGCGCTATCTGTCATTCACTCATTCTTGATGATAAATATACCTGGTGCAGGAAAGTATAAGATAGGTGCTTTCCGGCATGATTTAAACATAGAGATCAAGGGTTCTGGAGAGGTAACTACATGGTTGCTTCTTCCTTTCACATTTCATCGTTACCTTCTACTTCTTGCTAGTGTTGGCACATTTAGAGCACAGACGATACCATCTTTGTGGAACACTCTCAGATGATGATGTTGCTTAAGTTCATGTATAATTTTTCAGGTGGAATTAGGTTTCGATAATGGCGTGGTAGATGATATATTTTTTGCATCGGGATATGATATTCGTGGCTATGTGGTTGCTCAGGTAATCTTTCTAGCTTCCAATTGTTTCCGCGTTTCATATATTTTTGCTGTAATATGGGGCTTAGGAGTTTAATGATGCTACATGGTTCAGATTGAATGTTGAATCCCAGTATGGCACTCAATAATTTCTGGGTTTTGCAATTTGTGGGTTTATTTAGTGCAGCTACTTGTTTTTGAATTCTTGATTTGTGTCCTGCTTAATGAAGAATAAGCTGTTGTCGTGCAGCAATTTGTTGTATTGGTGCTACGCTCATGTCTTTTCATTAGTACTCCTGGGTAATCTGTTTCAAAGTGTTGTAGTCACTGTATGATGACATCAGGATGGTCTTGCCTGTGTTTGGTTGGTAGACGATTTTTTTATTTGCTATTAACTATTGTTATTCTTTTTTATATTAATGTGAAGGTTAGATGATATATTTATAGTTATGTGATGATTATGGTCAAACCTTATCATTTCTTGAAGTTCTTTATAGAAAAAGAACTTCTGTTCATGAGAGCCTATGTAATTAAATATGAAAATTGGTATCTGCCTCCAAGGAAAACTTATACTGCTTATATGTCATGGACTCTATACTTTTTAACCTTTTCATGTGATTTTCTGTACTTCAAGAGCTTCTACTCCTTGATGATTTTGTTTTCTCAACATGGTTCTTAAATCCCAAAAAATCTGATGTCCTCTGATGCGATATTGGTAGGGAAATCCGATACTGGGAGTTCATTTTTATCTATACTCAGATGATGTCTTGGAGCTGAACTGTCAGCATGACTCTCAGCATGACTCTGGTAATGCACCTGGGCTTGGGAAAGCTCTTTGTCATGCTGTATCTGATGCTGATGGGATGTTCAAGTTCACATCAATACCGTGTGGTACTACTATACATTTATTTTTCTATTTCTACTTAAGCATGGTTCTTGTTTGTTTCTTCATTCTTATCCAGTTTATACTATATATTAAACTTCTGCATGCTCCATGTGACCTATGCATTCCACACTTCAAATGATTGTGGTTTTTTCACTGCACTCACCATCTGTTATGCAGCTAGGATAATTTCTTTGTTTTGAGTTTGATCCCTCCTTTATTGGAATTGCTTAACTCAATTGAATAAATGAACATGATTGGTACTGTTTGGTTTTCTTCCGTGAAAGATATTTGCAGATTACAATCATAAGTTGCAATGTTTTATTATCTTCCAGCATATTCTAGAGTTCTCTTCATTAGCCAAGAACAGTAATATCCTCTCTCGTTAGCTCTCACAATTATCTGTCAATGGCATTTCATGCCTCTACTTGTACTTTGGTGCTGCATCAAACACGTCGATATCACTGAAAGTTATCATCTTTGAACTTCTACTCTTGAATACATATGCAACAATGTCACAACTTTCATAAGGTGATATTGTAGTTTTTGGTGCTCAGCCAACCGATGTTTTGATCATTTCAGGGACATACAAGCTCATACCGTTCTACAATGGTGAGAATACCGTTTTTGATGTTTCACCACCTTCAATGTTGGTGTCGGTTGAGCATGATCATGTTGTAGTCCCTCAAAAATTTCAGGTAAGAGTTTAGCAAAAAAGTAGTTCAAGCTAGCAATGGCTTTCTGAATGCACGTGAAGATATGATGTATGCTTCTAATTGTAAACTCCTTAAATCTTACTTCCAGTTTTGCTCTTTTGCTTGATATCATGCTCTTGTCTAAAGGTACTAAAATTATCTACAATTTTCTCAAACAGTATCAGCCGACCTTAGTATTCTATAAATTGATATGTATTAGCTGCTTGGAAATATAATATAGTATATGCTCTAGTAATCATAAAATTTTATACGCTCAAACTTGTCTTGACCTGCAAGGACCATTCTGTTGGATGAACTAACTACAGGGTGATTGTGTAATTTTAGCTGTAACTATATGTTTGTAGAGTACTATCCTTTTTTTGATTCTTTATTTTTATTCAATTGGACGCTATACATTTCCCATATCAAGTACAGTAACATCATCCATGTTGTATAGGTTACTGGGTTTTCTGTAGGAGGCCGTGTGATTGATGGTAATGGTAATGGAGTTGATGCTGCAAAAGTTTTCGTGAATGGTCTTGAAAGATCAATAACTGATGCAGAAGGTTATTACAAACTTGATCAGGTAAATTTGTGTTCCAACTTATAGTACCAATGTTGAGTTTCTTTGTTTAAACTTTAAGGATGTTGATCAGTTATTATTGCAAAGGACTTGATGCTATCAAACTCATTGTTTTTGTCCCCCATTTAGGTCTTATTTTCCAGTTTTTGATACGCATGTCATGTGAACTTCATCCATAGTACCATTATATATGGCCAGCTCATCTTATTTTTCGCTTTAGCTTGTTACCTACGGTACACATGTTGTAGGGATTGGAAAAACGGGAGGCTATATGTGCTAGGGACTGAAACTGTAGCTTGTTGGAAAGTCCTGTGTGATACAGCTTCATATGTATCACATCATAGTACAAGAGACACGTGACACTAACCTTTGAATCATTAATTTTAATTAATCCTTTGTTATTGTCATCAAATTTAAAGCCATCAAACATGTTGCAGTAGAGTCATAGACCATGTGACCAGATGTCTGTCATGTCTTGAATCTCAAAGAAATGTTTACTTAAGTAAACTGCTATACTTAACAGAATTTGAGAATAAGTACATTCTCAGCGGTTTATAGTCGTATTCATATCGTTCTCATTCCTCTGTCTCCAATCTGCATCTTAGGGATTTTATGGTTTCCCCTGCAACTTGTGAACAGACAATCATTCAACTAGAATAAATTCAATTGTTGAGACCTTAAAGTATGCACACAAACCCTATAATACTGCTAGTGTGCCATTGTACTATCCTGGATATCTTGTTTAATCATGTTGTTTCCCCATGGATTTAATATGAAAAATGTGAGCTCTGTTTTTGCCCCCTATAATTTTTGGATATGCCAAATCATTGCTTTAGGTTACCTCGAAAAGATACAGTATCGAAGTGAAGAAAGAGCACTACAAGTTTGAAAGGTTGAACGACTTTCTGGTGAGTATCTCCAAGCTTTAAATTTGTTGCTGACATCTAGTACATTAGACCTTAAAAAATGAGAGCAGTTTGATACCAGTATCTCTTATTGTCCTATTGATCTTATTGAATTCTCAGTTACATCTTTCATGCTCTAATCCAATCAAGTTGTTAGGTTTTGCCAAACATGGTTTCAATTGCTAATATCAAAGCAATATCATATGATGTATGCGGCACGGCTCAGACGATTAGTTCTGCATACAAAGCTAAGGTAATATCTGCCCACCTCTTTGAAGTCCTAACTATCTATTTTTGTATTTGCGAGTGGAGGATAGAAAGCTATGAAGAAGCATGTCTTTCTTATTCTGCGTGCATAATAATTACCTGTATCAATTATAGATGTAAATCTCCTAGCAAGATTTGCAAATTTTGAGTTGTTCGGAATTCGGATGACAGTAGTTACATGAGGTGTATGCACCAACTGATTGATGTATTGACTGGTCCGGTTCTTCTTTAAATTTCTGTTTGAATCTGTAGTTAGCTTGAAATGTAAAATACCTGGTGATCATTTTTTATGTTTTGATGGCATGCCACCTAGTAATTATATCATCTGAATGCCAGGTTGCTTTGACTCATGGACCAGAGAATGTCAAACCGCAAGTGAAGCACACTGATGAAAGTGGTAACTTTTGCTTTGAGGTAAGGTTCTGTAGTCTGTAATTCAGTTATTTTCCTTGTTTATGGGCTATTTATTCTAGTTATATGTTCTCTTCCGTATTTATTCTATGCCTACTTCAGAGCATTTTAATTTAAACTCTGGTGATCTATGAACTATGCTATGGGTTATAGTGCAGATTTTCAGTTCTATCATTTTTTCAGGTTCTACCTGGCGAATATCGCTTATCTGCTTTTGCAGCAACACCTGAGAGTGCTCCAGAACTTCAGTTTTCACCAAATTACATAGATGTTACTGTTCATAAACCATTACTAGATATCAAGTTTTATCAGGTATGAGCTTACAAGTATTGAATCTCAATTGTAAATGTGCCGTTCTCTCCTGCACCTTTTGACCCTTTACACTTTAACAAAAAATGTTTGCTGCCAAGATGATTTAATATATTTTTCGTTATTATTATTGTTGCAGTTATTGTTGTTATTATAATACATTGTTATAATTATAGTTATTATTATTATAATCAGCAGTTGTTGTGTTAGTATTTGTGTTATCATTAACGTCATCATCCATTTTACTTCTGTTTTATTTGGAAAACATAGGCACAAGTCAACGTTCATGGGTCAGTAGTTTGCAAAGACAAATGTGGGCCTGCTGTTTCTGTAATGCTTGTGAGACTCGATGGTAAAAGTCAAGAAGAGAGTTCAGTTAGTTTGACTGATCCGAGTAATAAGTTTTCATTCTCCAACGTTCTCCCGGGGAAATACAGAATTGAGGTATTGCGTTTTTTTTCTCGACATTTTTCGATGTACTAATTTTACTCCTTTTATTGTGTATGCTTATATGTACATATATGTAGAAGTATGCTTGTTAGGCTGTTTCCCAAAGTGCCTATTTATCCCTGCAACTGATTTTCTAGACCCCTCAAAAACCACCGATATTGCTTTTGAGAATAATTGTCATTTACAACAGACATCACCAGACATTTTCCATCTGGTCAATTCTTCAATTTGTTTCTTTTGAAAAATGTAACTGGCACATTTCAGTGGTCAGAGCTCCTTTATAGTTTTTGACCTTTGAATTTATTTTTGATCATCTATATGTTCCATTATAGGTAAAAACTCATGCCACTGGAGTCTCATCAGGCGAAGATGTATGGTGTTGGGAACAGAATAGTATAAATGTGATTGTTGGTGTGGAAGATGTTGATGGGATTACTTTTATTCAGAAAGGCTATTTGGTAAAGGTAATTTCCAGCCATGATGTCGATGCTTACCTGGTACAAGCAGACAGTTCACACATGAACTTAAAAATTAAGGTAAACACGTTTTTTTGTTATTGAAATTTTCATCCATCATTTCTTGTGAACCATCATCTTAAAATCTTTTCATGAATCACAGAAAGGTTCCAATCAGATTTGTGTAGAGTCTCCTGGTGTGCATGAACTCCATTTCATTGACTCGTGTATTTCCTTTGGGAGCTCTACTTGGAAAATTGACACATCAGATCAGTCGGTATGATACATTAGGAGTGTCCTTCCTTTTGTTTTTTATTTTTTAAATCTTGTAATATATAAATTGATCTTTAGGAGACAAAGGAGTTCTGATTAGGTGAGAAGAGATAGTGGAAGGGTGTTTGGATGGACATGTTTTTTGTTTAAGACTCATCGTATGTGTCTTTTGTGCAGCCTATTAACTTAAAGGGTGAAAAGTATTTGCTGAGAGGGCGTATAGACATCAAGTCAAAATCAAAAGAGGATTTACCTGAGAGTATATCGCTTGTCATCTTAGACGATCAAGAAACATTAGTTGATGGTACAGTTGGCAAACTTGTCTCAGCTGAAGTTGATCACTCAGAGGTTGCTGTCTATGAGTATTCTGTGTGGGCTAATTCTGGGAAAAACCTCATCTTTGCCCCTCGTGACTCATGGTATGTGTATGCGTATATATTTGGCACTAATGGTTTAATCTCAGCTGATGCTTCTGCATATCTTTGATGCTTTTTTGTCCAGTCACGTGGTGTCTTACATTAACCTACACATACACGCAGTGGCGGATCTACACAGGGACCCGTAGCAGTAGGGGCACGGGCCCCTGTAGAATTTTTTAGTAGTATACCTACATATGTTATATATATAAATGTATTATTGTATGAACATAAAAGATACATGTCATTAATTATTATGCAAAGTTATTTCAATATAAAAAAATAAAAGAAATGTTTATGCGGATGTTATATTCAAAATTCTTGTATCTTTCCTTTTCCCTCCCAAAATACATAAAAATAAATACTACACATATATGTATATACTATATAGGGATTGCATCCAAATCTAGCTATTAAATAGGGAACGAGATGCCTGGTCAAGATTTAATCTTTTTATTTTTTTAAATGTTCAAATATTGACCATTGACTTCCGGCGTTGATTGTTGACCGTCTGCGTTGACCGTAGTTTGTGCCTCATACTTGTTGTCCTGAAATCTGCGTCCGCCCCTGCATACTTGTTGAGGAAATTTTTTGTTTTTTTTTTTTTTTTNCCTTCCTGTGGTGATTCAGCAATTTCACTGCATCTTTACATCTTATTTACTTCCATCTTTTTTCTGGTTTATGCTTAGTGAAGTATTTCATTAAAAAGTGCACGTCACTATCTCTTCCCTATATTTTTTGCAATTTTCATAAGCTACGCTATTATACCTTCCGAGAAGTTTATCTATCTGATACTTGTTTAATATTTATGCTGAGACCCACCTCTCCCCTTTCTTTTTATTTTAATTGATTTGAAGAGATTAAATTCAAATTTGTAAAGTTTGTATAGTTAAAAAGATGTGTTGCCTCCCATGGTGAACATAAATGAGAGTGCAACTGCTACTCATTTTTTATGTGCCTAATCATGCGACATGTTGAGAGTAACATAAATTGGACTTGTGATAACGTATAACAGGTTGATGTCTCCTGGGATGACTAATCTAGAACTTTTGCTTGATTTTTTGTTAACCAGGTTGATGTCTCTTGGGATGACTAATCTAGAACTTTAGCTTGATTTTCTGTTAACCAGTGTTAAAAAAAATTATTATGAAATTGGATTTCCAAAAATAAATTTATATACAAAGAGATTATAATTAGTGAACAATTTATATGATTCTGATTACGTGTTGTATTGAATGGTTATAATTGTCTAAACCATTCACAAATTTTGTAATATAAAGATTGGATTGCCAAAAGATTATATATTTATTACAGAATCTATAACTATCTTGAAAGAGAGAGTTGTTCGTAAGAGAGAGTTATTTCTTGAAATAATTGGATTATAAAAAATGCCCTACATTATAGTTAATTTTGTACAAATGTTAGGGAGTTGCGAATATAAATAGTTACAATCATTTTTGCAATCAATTTTCATTCTACTTTATTTTTTTTCTTTGTTTTATCTATGATCTTATTCAAAACTTTTTTTTTATGTATTCAATAATTTATTTTCTTTTAGTTGATACAAATACATTAAGATTATATAAGCAGATATATAAACTTGAAAGAAATAAATAGAATAAAATTTATTTCAGAAACAACTTTGTTAAGGGATTATTTAATTGCTGCAAAATATTCTCATCCTTATTTTACCTCTGCTGCAGGAATGGTGTGGGAAAGCAAATCTTATTTTATCCTAAACAACAGAATGTAAGTTCATTTAGAATGTTATTCCCCGCATATATCATGTATCTATGGGGAAAAATAAAGCAGTTGATTTGAAGTCATCATCATATTTGATTAGGTTTCAGTGGAACAAGGTGGATGTCAAGCTCCAATTGCTCCATTTTCTGGTCGATTAGGTTTATATATTAAAGGATCAGTTACACCCCCTCTTGCTCATGTTCGCATAAAAGTTCTTGCACAGACAGATAGTCGTATTTCTACACTTAAACAAGGCGATACCGCACTTGAAGTTACCACAGGGGCAGATGGTTTATATCTTGCTGGACCGCTTTATGATGATATAGGTTACAGCATAGAGGCATCAAAGGTTTGAAATTTGTTGCAGTTCAGATTATGCATATTATGACATGTTTTCGTTGAAAAATTATTTGCTAACCCTGCTTCTTTTCTGATATAACTCAATAATAGGGATATGAGTATCCTAAGAGGTGCAGCTTTTCTTAACTCAAGAAAATTGATGTTATTCTACTTCTATATGTTCTAATCATTGCTTGGATAAAAATTGTACTTCCCTTCTTTTGCTTTCCTATTGAAAGAAATGTTCCATTTTCGTGATAACCGGTCCTTATCTTTCCTATTAGAGCAAGGTGAGCTATCTAGATATTTTATCCAGCAGATAGGAATATTGTAGTGTATAATATGTAAAGACGTTTTTTCATTCAACATTCTTTTTGGTATGATTGGTGTAGATCAGTGTGCTGAGCGAAGAAAATCATAATATCTATGTAACTTCAGAAAACAAATGACAATTGCTGCAAACTTGCCGAGTGAAAATGCATATAGGAAAATGTGCACTCAGGATTCCAGTGTTGGATTTCTTCTGCAGTCAACATGAATGACTACTGATATGTTTTCTTTATTGCAGCCTGGTTATTATGTAAAACAAATTGGACAGTATGCCTTTTCTTGCCAGAAGTTGGGTCAGATTTCAGTACGATTATATTCTAAAGAAGAAAGCAATGAGCCTTTTCCTTCTGTTCTTTTGTCATTGAGTGGCGAGGATGGATATAGAAACAATTCAGTGACTGGTGTTGGTGGCAATTTCATATTTGATAACTTATTTCCTGGGAGTTTTTACCTCCGACCTTTATTGAAGGTATTTGAAATCCATTGTTTGTGCCAATTGATCGTTTTTTCTCCTATGTCTTGGTTGACTTTATTGTTCGTGATGTACCTTGGTTTGTGCGATAGCTTTGTAATTGTGACATTGTAAGCTAAGTTGATTATTAGGAGAATGGAAGTATCAAAAGAATCTCAAACATTGACCAGATCTGCCTTTTTTGCTTCGATACCTGTTTAAGATCTCATGCTGCTCCTGGGAATCCCATGCTTCCTTTCAGTATATTTTGAGCTCTCGATGTATTATAAATGGCTATTTTCCTCCTTAAACATTATAGTCCCTTCTTCATGCTTCAACCATTTATAATATGGCCATAATTTATTTTTGACGTTTGAATTTAAGTAAGTTTTACTATTTCTATTATTGTTGTTCCTTTTTCCACTTCCAGGAATATGCATTCTCCCCTCCTGCTGAGGCCATCGACCTTGCTTCTGGCGAATCAAAGGAAGTTGTCTTCTATGCTAATCGCATTGCTTTTAGGTAACAACTCTCCAAAAGGCTTTCGTTCTAGTTTTTATCATAATAGTTGATATGTATCTTTCTTGCAATAATGCTTTCTTCTTTCTAATATTGTTATGGATATATTTGTTGAGTTTTCCACTCACAGATCCCATCTTTTTGTGTGAGAAGATGTGCTTAAAAAATTTTCTTAAGTATGGATTGTACCTCTCAAGGATGCTGATATAGAAATAATATTTTCTCGTGGACATCCTTTTACGTGCATGACTGCAGCATTTAGTGAACAGCACGTTCAAGTTTTCTGTTACAAATGTTGACCAACTTCATGACATAGAAATTAGCCTGAATATGTCACTCCCATTTGTGGTCTATATCTGGTAATTTGTGTAAAATGTGCCACTTATGTCTCCCACCTATCATCTGGAGCTGGGTGATCTAGCCTTTCCTCCATATGCTTCATTTGTCTTCATTGATCTAGTGACTGCCAAATCTTTAGAAGCTAAACGTCCATGATATTTAAACAGTTTCTCATCCAACTTTCTGAGCAGTCTCGAATCATCCGTCTAAAGCTCTAAATTATTTGATAGTTTGGTAGATATCTATCATAATCTCACTTCTCGAAGTTTCATGTTTTGCTAGAACTTTGAAACCATTCACCCTTGTTGCAGTGTGATGGGCAGAGTTACTCTATTGTCTGGTCAACCAAAAGAAGGTTTGTCTATTGAAGCGAGGGCCGAGGCAGAAGGATTTTATGAGGAGACGGTAACAGACTCATCAGGAAGTTATCGGCTGAGGGGACTCCAACCGCTTACCACTTATGCAATTAAAATAGCAAGGAAGAGCAAACTTGATGACACACATATTGAGCGGGCATCTCCGGAGTTCTTGAGTGTTAAGGTAAGTTTTGATTGTTGGTTTAAAATATCGGTTTTAAGCACTTTGCTTAAAATTTGGTGTTTCTCATATGAGTTTACCAAAGAAGAAATGAATTATATATGTAAGGAAATTAGAATGTTTGTGAAAATACCAAAACTCATTGTTATTTTAATAATTAACCATAAATGCACTCAAAACACAATTTTCAAAAAATTCCAGGGTAATAGTATCTCCCCAGGCTCCCGACAGCTTGCATTGCTCCATTTCGTTTAGTATGTAGTTTTCTTTTTTCACGTTTCTTGTGATGGTGTTGACTGCGTTGCCTAACCCATGTCATGTTAGATTGGCTATGAGGATATGAAGGAATTGAATTTTGTAGTCTTCGAAGTGCCAGAGGTTACCATATTAAGTGGCCATGTGGAAGGACCTAATATTAAGGAGCTCTGGCCCCATATCAGAGTGGAGATTAGGTCAGCTGTTGACGAGTCAAAGGTTGTGTCCGTATTTCCATTGCCAATTTCAAACTTCTTTCAGGTGAAAGACTTGCCTAAGGGTAAGCACCTTGTCCAGCTCCGATCTGCTATGCCATCCAATGCTCACAGATTTGAATCTGATGTCATTGAGATAGACTTAGAGATGCAACCTCAAATTCATGTCGGCCCATTGAACTATAGGATTCATGAGGACAATTACAAGCAGGTAAATGTCAATTTGGCTGAGAAACTGTTTTGAGGATCGCACTGCATTATCTTTGCAGTTGGCCAGGGATCGACTATATGCTAAGACAATTGTGAATGTTTTTCATACTTGGCTTTTCAGTGGAGATGAAACTGACAATTTTCGAATATTATTGGTTCTAGGTGTGTTATCTAATAATGACGGTGATTCATTAATTTGATTGTGTCCAGGAATTGACTCCAGCTCCCGTGTATCCTCTAGTTGTCGGGATTTCAGTGATTGCTCTGTTCATAAGCATGCCAAGGTAACTGAGATGGTTTGAGTGCGCATTTATTACTTTTTTCCTTCTATAATATAATACACACAAAAACACATTTACATATGTGTGTATATATATATATTGTTTGTTTCTTAGTTGCATGCTATTCCTTCGTAGATTGAAGGATCTATATCAAGCTTCCATTGGAGTTTCAACGGCAGGGCCCTCTACAACTGCAAAGAAAGACGTTAAGAAACTGGTCGTGAGAAAAAAGACCTACTGAGTATTTCTTTTTGGCTCGGTCAATGCCTGAAAAGGACTAGCAAACTAATACTGTATAACTTATCGCCAGTCGCCTTTTGTCTGGCGTGACTAAGCTTTGGCTGCTGGCTTAACAAATTTTGAGTATTTACTTGACTTGGCCTCTTTTGTTTTCATAGTGGCCTTTGTGAACTTCATGCTTCATTGCATTGGAAGATGACGCTTTCCCATCGCCAAGCCGTCCAGCAAAAGCACGGGGTTTTCCTTCTTGTGTAGAGGGCTACTAAATAACATCTAAAAGAGGCCATGAGACAAGCGTTGAAATCCGTGGTTTTGGATGTTAAAATGTCTGTTTTGTGAGGACATGAGCAATTACCTGACAGACCTATTTGTAGTGGCAGTAAACTACTTAGGCAGTTCAACATCTCCAATAATGCCCATGTGTTTTTGTTTATTTTCTGGCAAAGGAGAAAATTTCTTACTCAGTTGTCTTTCCTTTAAACTTTGGTATTATCTCCATCATGACCGCTATGGGTATAAAAATGTAATTATTCAGTTTACGGCAATTGGCTTTCCTTTCACCAAATTAGCTCGCCCTCAATATGGATCAATTAGCTCACCTTCAACAAAAACATATGAGGTGGGAAAATTCGATCCTTAGATAAAAAAGGCCATATCACAGCCTTACGATCTAGCGGGTCCTTGAACATCACGTAGATTCATTTTCAGACCTCTTAACCGGTCCCTGCACATGGTTGAATTTGTCTGACCCAGTGATCAACTTGTCGATCCAAGCAATAATAATCCTAATCTTACCCAAAACCGCGATCAATGACCTAGAGATCAACCGACCAACTTGGGCTAGCACGAACGAGGGCCAGAATGGATGAACTCTTGGAGCAAGAGACAATGAGATTAATTGATGACCAACACATATCAAGCACGTATCCCCACTGATTGGAGATCCAATAGATCCCTTCTGGTCGTTAAAAATCTCTTTTGTCACACCCCACCAAAATTTGAAGATCGGTAGCATGTCAGAGTCAGACTAGTTGAGGTACAAACAACAACCCAGATGTGTAGAAGCCCCCAAAGTAAGAGATGACGAACGTATATCCCCTACAGAGATTCTTTTCACCCCTCCCGCAGTGTTCGACCGCTATCATCCAGCTCGATAATGCTCGACTAGCGTGGTTTTCCCGGTGTTAGATTCATGTGACCGATTTAATGGACCGGTTTACTCCTTTAGATATATAATATCCCATATCAAGTACCGTCTGCTGTTCGCCGCAACTAGCCACGCCGAAGTCTCAACCCGTCTCTGCCATCAGCCGGACTGCACCGACTACTCCGACGCAGCCCCCTTCCTCTGATTTATTAATCTTTCGGGCTGTAGTTGCGGAAAGAAGGCCTCGCCATATGCGGAGCCGGAGGGTCATGGTGGCCGGCGGCAGTGGAGAGGACTTGTGTAGGAGACGGGAATTGAAGAGATGGGAGTTTCAGTGATAATGACGATAATTCAGATCTGAAATGAAATGATTTAACGTTGTGAATTTTATAATATATTACAATTTAGTTCATAGGTCAAATTTATAATTAATCAAACTATAGTTAATATTTTAATATTGTTTATTTAATATTTGAAAATAGATAATACATTGCATAAAAATATATAAAAAATGATAATAATATTTCTTATACAATTTGGACGTTCGGTTATTTCGCTTAACTACCATCGAAACGAGATAATCGAGTTTTTTTAAAGTAATGCAAAACAATCGAACAGAAATTTAAGATTTCTCAATTGAAAAAATTAGTTCGTGCAGTTTCGTTATATATTGTGCAATCCAATAGTCACTAAGGTGCAATTCATACAATCATACTCTGCACCCATTATACATAAAAAATTAAAATAATAAAAATAAGATTTTTCATATTATTCAATAACCATAATAATGTGCATTCATAATATATAAAAAAATATATAAATAATAATAATAATAATAATAATAATAATAATAATAATAATAATAATAATAACTTCTGATAATAATAAAAAAAAACTAGGTCAATATTGTGCAATCTGATGGTCATCAGAGTGCAATCTGTCTAACACTTCTGTACACTTATAGTGCAAGCATTTTTACGACTTGTTTCAAACAAAATAACCCCACCTTAATATTCGGTTAACCGAGGTACCTTAAATAATTATTATTTATATTATAAAAAAATATGGTAAGTATTTTAATATATATAGGTAATAGTATATATATATTTATTGTTGAAAATACATAACATATAAAATACCATCATCGTTATTGTGCATTCCAACATGTATTAATGTGCATTTATTTTAACTTTTATTTATGCATTCTATAGAATTATATTTTGTTAAGTTCATTTTCAATTATACAAACCTCTAATAATGTGTATTTCCATTATCCTAAATAATCCCATTAATTTATTATTTATATTAAAATTATATTTAGTATGTGAGAAATATTATTTTTTTTTATATATTATTTTTTTGTCATAGAAAAGGGAATATACAAAATACCGATCTCGATAAAGTGCAAGCACACATGCATTAATGTGCATCTAGTATAACATGATTGTGCAAGATATTAAGCGTGTATTTTTCATGTGCATTTCAATTTTGGATATATATATATACATTATTTATTGTATATATATAAAAATATATATTTTTTATATTTGTTTGGTCGATTTCGTTATTTTTGTTACCTTCTTTTTTTGTAAATAAAGACAATCGTACTAAATCGAATGCATTAATTTGCATTCTCATACGCATTAATGTGCACTAAGTCGAACACTACTATGTTTTTTTATATTTAGTATTTCTTTGTTAAGCGAGTTCAAGAGAGCAAAGTGAGACTTGACGTTGTCAGATACAAACGAAGTATGTTTATATTTTTTATTTAATATTTTCTATTGTTATATTTTAAACACATATTATATATGTCTAAAAAACATATATAAAAATAATATTTTATATAGTTTTAAAAATTACAAATTTGGCCAAATGTACTCAAGTGCAATATAACCAACATTTTATAAATTACAACTAAGCCCTTCAGCCCTAACTAATTCTCAAAATAAAGCCCCACATAATTGAAGTTGTTGCAGCACTTCTCTCGGGACAGCGGCGACGGCGGATGTCGGGAATGAGACGGCTGCGGCGGTCGGGCTGTGGGACAAGACAGCGGCGGTGGTCGGATGGCGAATTGGGGCCGCGGCGGCGGCGGTCGGATGTCGCGAACGGGACGGAGGCGATAAATGGACGTCTGCGACTCTCAGAGCGGACAAAACCAAGCCCATCTGCTCCTACATTAGCGAGGTCGGTGGTGCGCGGTGGTGGGAGAAGGCCCCACGAGGTACTTCACGGCCGAATTCATGTCGGACTTACATCGACGGGACGGCAACAGTGGTGGACCGTAGATGTTGTCGACCTTGGTTTTCTGATCTCAGCCAGAGGCGGCCGTCGTCGAGCTCAGCGGCAGAGAAGACTATTCTGGCTGAGGCGAGTGTTGCGGGTAACCCGCGGCGGGCGACGTGCGGCTGTGGAGTGTCGACGGCGGAGTGTGGCGGCGCAAGAGGCGGGCGGCTGTCGTGTGTGTTGTGTGTGTTTGTCTGTGATGTGCGTGTTGTGTGTCGAGTGTGTCTGTGTGTGTTGTTTGTGCGTGTAAAGAGAGAGAGAGAGAGAGAGAGAGAGAGAGAGAGAGTGGGTGGGGTGGGTAGGTGGTTTGACTGGTGGGTGTTAGGTGGCAGTTTTATTAATGGGTAGTAGGGTCCATATGTTTGAGTGTATTGTCTAAAATTACCACCAATGCCCTTAATAAATGTATATTTTCGGCTTTTAATGACTTTTTTATAAGCCGTTAGATCATGCGATCTAATGACTACAATGTATTCTTATTTCTTTCACTGAGCAACATTCTCACCGAAACGAGACCCTTAGTATATACATATATATATATATATATATAGGGGTTGGTTCAAATAAAAACTAGTCCTGGTGTGAGAACCGTGAGAACCATATTTGGTGTTATTTTTAATTGTGTATGATGTTATTTTTAATCTCACATGGTGCTATCATTTTTACAAATGCTAACATAAATTGTGTTGCTATTTTTAATAAAATACATCCTGATTAAAAATAGCACTAAAATAGCACTAATATACAATCAATCATAGCACTACATACAATTAAAAATAGCGGTTCTCACGGTTCTCACGCTAGTTAAAAATAGCATCAAACACAATCAATCATAGCACTACGCCCCAATAAAAATAGCGGTTCTCACGATTTTCACATTAAGACTTGGTTCTCATTTGAACCACATCATATATATATTAGGCTAAAGTACATGTATACGCATCAAAATAACGTTAATGCCGAAAAAACGAGATTCAAAAGTTAATCACAGTTATACCAATTCCTTCTTTTATAACCCAAGAAAATTAACTTTCCCAAAAAATGGAAAGTAATCTATGCTGCTCGTGGTCTTTCATTCAGCCCTAGTTGATGCCAATTATATGTGTAAACTGTAATCAAGGTAAGTTTCCAAACATGAAACAGTTAAAAAAAAAAATCCCCTGAGAAACAATTTGAAAGAGAGAGAGAGATTAATATGGCGGAAATGCAAGGAATGTTTCTTCCGGCGGCTCGCAAACGATAACTATCATAGTTTGACAGTTTAATTAATGAAAAAATTAAATACAAAATGTTAGATTTTGACAACTAATGAGCCAATTTTTTAGTTTATTTTTAGTTTATTTTTAGTTTATAAGTTATCTCTATAATTTATTAAAAATTAATTTGAGACTTTTAGTTTATCTTAAGTATATTATCTATTTTTATGAATAGATATATTTTCTATTTTAAATCTATCATCTTTTTTTTTATATAAACTTTTTTAGTTTATTTTTAGTTTACCTTAAGTTTATCTTTAGTTTATCTTAAGTTTATCTTTAGTTTATCTCTAGTTTATCTTAAGTTTATTTTTAATTTATCTCTAGTTTATCTTAAGTTTATTATCTATTTTAACTATATCATGAAACACAAATTGACAAACAAATCTTATAAAAAATAAGACTTAATATAAAATTTCAAAAAAAAAACAAAAAAACAAAAAAAAAAAACCATCAGTAAACATCTTCAAAATATAAATATATTACATACCAATATACAAAGTTACAAACCCCATAGAAATTCATAGAAACTCTTATATTGTTTCACTGCCTAAAAACATAGAAGCCCCCTGCAGACTGAAACTCAAACACGTGCCTCCTGACCCAAAATCCCTACTCATGCAGATAAAATCAATCACGACTTCCTTCATAGTCGGCCTATCGATTGACGAGCACGCTAAGCACTTCTCGACAAGTTTTCCAACTAGCATCACCACAAACCTCCAAACGACTATCCAAGATTCTAACCAAGTCATCCCCTCTAATCGACTCCACAAAATGCAGGACCACTCCAAACGGTAGACGTCACTCAGTTTTGTCTGTACCTGAGGACTCAAACATCCCACAGAGCCGAGTGTGCACCAACTCACCCACGGGATACAAGTCATTGAACTGTACCCAAAATCCATAT